CTCGGTGGCTCACGCCTGTAATCTAGCTCTCTGGGAGCCGAGGGGTGGATTGCTCGAGGTCGGGAGTTCAAAACCAGCCTGAGCAAGAGCGAGACCCCATCTCTACTATAAATAGAAAGAAATTAATTGCCAACTAATATATACAAAAAATTAGCGGGCATGGTGGCTCATGGCTGTAGTCCCAGCTACTCGGGAGGCTGAGAACAGAAGGATCGCTTGACCCAGGAGTTTGAGGTTGCTGTGAGCGAGGCTAACGCCACGGCACTCACTCTAGCCTAGGCAACAAAGCGAGACTCTGTCTCAAAAAAAAAAAAAAAAAAAAAAATAACTGAGGAGCTGGGTGTGGTGGCTCACGCCTATAATCCTAGCACTCTGGGAGGCCAAGGCAGGCGGACTGCTTGAGGTCAGGAGTCTGAAACCAGCCTGAGAAAGACCGAGACCCCGTCTCTACTATAAAAATAGAAATTAATTGGCCAACTAATATATATAGAAAAATCATCCAGGCATGGTGGTGCATGCCGTGATCCAGCTACTCGGGAGGCTGAGCAGTAGGATTGCTTGAGGCCCAGGGGTTTGAGGTTGCTGTGAGCTAGGCTGATGCTAGGCACTCACTCTAGCCTGGGCAACAAAGCGAGACTCTGTCTCAAAAAAAAAAAAAAAAAAAAAAAAAAAAAAAAAAAACCATAACTGGTCACAGTACATATCACACATTGCTTGATGGCTGTTGGACTGGGACCACAGCACAGTGAGCATTCAAGATTTCAGTTTTTCTATCATTTTATGTTCAGCTTTACACTTAAAACCTCACCTGCCAAAATCTGCTGGAATCCTTTGATAGTTTCCTTCAGTGGTACCAGCTTCCCCATATGACCTGTAAAGACCTCAGCAACCTGGAATGGCTGAGACAAGAAACGCTGTATTTTTCGTGCACGGGACACAGTCAACTTGTCTTCCTCAGAAAGTTCATCCATACCTAGAATGGCAATGATGTCCTGAAGGGACTTGTAGTCCTGTAAGGAGATGGGGGAAAGTCTGAGTAAGTATTCACATTGGTTTAATCTAGACAAAAACCTAAGAGAGAGAACAAGCTAATAGAGGGAAAGGTACCATACTCAGGGCCTCATGATCAGCATCTCCCTATTCCTAGTTTAGTGCTATTCGAAAGAACTGGATTCCAAAGCCTAAGTCCCTAACCCCTCTCCCCTCTGCAAAGACCCCATCAACACTCAACTAGCAATTGCTGGTCTCGACTTTCCTTGTTCGAAGGAAAAGCCTAGGAAAGATCCAGTCCTAATATAATCCCCAAATTCCCTCTTTATAACTTTAGGCCACCAGTCCCACATAGCAATATACTCACTTGCAGGATCTTTTGTACCCCACGGGCAACGTCATAATGCTCATTGCCAACAATGTTGGGATCCATGATGCGAGAGGTGGAGTCTAGAGGATCCACAGCTGGATAGATGCCCAGTTCAGCGATAGCACGGGACAGCACAGTGGTAGCATCCAAATGGGCAAAGGTAGTGGCAGGGGCAGGATCAGTCAAGTCATCAGCAGGCACATAGATAGCCTAAAGTGAGTAAAGAACCGTAAGGACAACGGAACCAAGTAATTCTACTTAGGCCATCCCCTTTCTGACCTCTTCTTACCTCATTCTATCTTAGCATTCAGAAGTCCACCTCAGAAGACCCTATGATCATCCCAATGCCTGAGCAGCTTATGGATTGTCTGGTTTCTCTAGGCAAGGATGGAAGAATTTCCATTATCATATTTTTTGTTCTTCACCCTCCATTTTAACTCTGTTGTAATGATACTCATTTTAGAGTTAAAACAAAACAAAAAACCTTGCACCACTATCACAGTTCATTAAATGAATTATTCCCCTTGGGCTGGAAAGCACTGTTTTGTGATCTTTACATGTATACCTCCAATTAATTTAGATGAATGTTTCTTAACCTTTTAGGTTAACATGCTCAGAGAATTTTACCACACTTATTCCAGGGAACTCATGAACCCCACTTTTAAGATGTAAGTAATTAGGATTTTGGGTTTTTTTTTGGAATGTTCAGATGTCTTTTTATTCAAAATACAAATAAAGTATCTGTAGGCAGTAATTAGGTTTTATACCTCTCTCAATACATCCTTTTTTCCGAGAGAGTCTCACTCTGTGCCGGGCTAGAGTGCCGTGGCATCAGCCTAACTCACAGCAACCTAAACTCTGGCTCAAGCAATCCTGCCGCCTCAGCCTCCCAGTAGCTGGGGCTACAGGCGTGCACGCCATGCCTGGCTAATTTTTTACATTATATTTTAGTTGTCTAGCTAATTTGTTTGGTTTTTTAGATTTTTTTTTTATAATTTTTTTAACTTTTAATATTTCCCTCACCAACCCTGGTCTACCAGCTAATTCTCTTCTTTCTTTTTTTTTTAAAGTAAAGACGGGGTCTCACTCTTGCTCAGGCTGGTCTGGAACTCCTGAGCTCAAACGATCTGCCCACCTTGGCCTCCCAGCATGCTAGGATTACAGGCATGAGCCACCTCGCTGGCCTCTACATGCGTTTTTTTAAGGCGGGTTTCATTATGTTGCTCAGGCTGGTCTCAAGTTCCTGGACTCAAGTGATCCTCCCACTTCAGCCTCCTGAGTAGATGGGACCACAGGCACACACCAGTGCACAAGGCATCTATATATATGCCTTTATGGAAATTGGACCTTCACCCAATTAATTTTTCTTACCTGCACAGAGGTGATAGATCCCTTCTTGGTGGTGGTGATTCTTTCCTGCATAGTACCCATGTCAGTGGCCAGAGTAGGCTGATAGCCCACAGCAGAAGGGATTCTGCCCAATAAGGCAGATACCTAAGAGAAAAAAGTAAGAACAAATGTCTCAGGTGTTTACATCTTTAGCCTCATCTACCTATGTTCAAAGAAAGGTCAAATGAACCAAGACCTCTCAAGCCTGCCCTCTTACCTCTGAGCCAGCCTGGGTGAAGCGGAAGATGTTATCAATAAACAGCAGTACATCTTGACCTTCTTGGTCTCTGAAGTATTCAGCCACAGTCAGTCCCGTCAGAGCTACCCGGGCACGAGCACCGGGTGGTTCATTCATTTGACCGTACACCAGTGCCACCTGTAGTAATCAAACACAATCAGAAAACTTAGGGGTATAGCAGCCACATACCCCAAGGTCTCCAAATTGAGAAAGAAAACCCACCACAGACTCTCTCTCAGGTGTCGGTATCTTTTTTTAAATTTTTTTTTTAGAGACACATTCTGTTGCATAGGCTGCAGTGCAGTGGCATGATCATAGCTTACCATAGCTTCAAATTCCCAAGCTCAAGTGATCTGCCCACCCCAGTCTCCACAGTAGCTGGGACTATAGGCATGCACCACTGTGCCTGGCTAATTTTTTAATTTTCTTGTAGAGCTGGAGGTCTTACTATGTTGCCCTGGCTGGTCTCAAACTCCTGGGCTCAAGTGATCCTCCCACCTAGCCTCACAAAGTGCTAGGATTACAGGCATGAGCCACCATACCTGGCCAAAAGATAGTTTTTTATATTAAGACAAAATTCCTACACCAGGAAGAAAATAAATACCTGTGTAACTGAAAGGTACAAAATAAGGTTATTTAAGACGTATGTACCACCTCCAATCCCCTCACCTTCAAAATTAGCTTTCAAATGATGAGACTATCTACCAAAAAGAAAAGTCTAGAAATGTAATCTAATGTCAAAGAGGAAAGATGATGTGTTAGAAGTTGGGGGGACAATAGGAATTTTCTTTGTAAGTTCTGGGATGCCAAAATGAAAATATAAAAAGATGGCTTCAGCTGGCAACAGCTTCCTGGCACAACTACTATGTGGACACCAATCAGCTCAGTGCTCACCTTGGAGGTAGCATCTTTTAAGTTGATAACGCCAGACTCAATCATTTCATGGTATAAGTCATTGCCCTCACGGGTCCTCTCACCAACACCAGCAAACACAGAGTAACCACCATGGGCTTTGGCGACATTATTGATTAACTCCATGATCAGTACAGTCTTGCCAACTCCGGCACCACCAAAGAGCCCTAGGAGAGTTGAGAAGAGTACAGTTCTGCATTCCCAAATAACTTCTAAAAACTTTTGCTTCCTTCCATCTTTTCCCTTCTCAGAAATGGCATCTGGCTTCAGCAAACTCAGAAGAACGAAAGTCAGAAGCTACTCATCAGTGAGGGATAGATATCAATACCCACTCATAACATAGTTATGATTTTTCCCCTCCCATATTAGGTTTAGAAAATTTGTACCCATCACTAACATACCAATTTTGCCACCCTTGGCATAGGGAGCTAGCAGATCCACAACCTTGATACCAGTTACCAGAATTTCCTGTTCACACTTTCATAAATTCGGGAGCCTCAGCATGAATAGCAGCAAATCTGTAAAGGCAGAAGAGAGGATTACATCTATTAACCTTGTTGAAAGCAACTGATGGGGGGTTGGGGGAGGAAAAAAAAAGCAACTGATAGCCTTAAATGTCTCTATCAACTCTCAAGTCCAACTCTTTACTAGAGAATCCAGTCTCATCTCCCCTTTGTTATATTAAGTTAGGTAAATTGTAATCTGGCATTTAACCCAACTGTGTGCAATAAAGACTTTGTTATCTCAAGAACCAATACCATTCCCTCACAACTTTAACTGTCATGTTTTTCATTTTACTGAGCCCTAACCTAACAGCATTCCTTCACATACCAATAAGAAACAGACTTGCACGTTTTATAGAGTCCTCAACCTAAACCATATGTGTAAGCCTTAAATACTCAACTGCAATCCTAAGTAGTAGGTTTTCTCAGTCAGAACTTCTGCATCCTTAATTTCTTGAAGAAAACTGCACTTGTGATTTTTAATAATCAACATATCAGCATTTTAAGTAGTCTCTGCAGGAAAATTCTGCTTTACTGGAAGGTGTCACCTTAATGTGTAAAACTGCAAGAAAAGCAGTTCCTCTGTGCAGATGTAAAAGAGGGACTTACTGTTTGGTTTTGATGGGACCTCTCTCATCAATAGGTTCCCGATGACATTTCAGATTCTGCCAAAGTCTCAGACCAACAGGAATTTGATTGGTGACCCGAATCGAGGACTTTCTGGCCTCTAACCAAGCCTTCTGTACCGTCCATGCAATGGTCCTTACTGTGCTCTCCCTGTTAGATAAAGGCATTATAGGTTATACATGAAGGACAGGTTATATTCATATTTAGTGAAGGGTAGTGCTGTGAAATACTAAGTCAACCAAGACTCCTTCTCAGTACCTAATGTGCTTAGCAATTCAGAGAACGAAAGTCATTTGAAAATCATATAGAAAGGAGAAAACTGGTTTTTGGATATTTGGGCTAAGTAAGTCTTTACCTATTTTACAAATTCTACTTACCCAATGCTGGCCATCAAAACCAGCCTCGTCTCTCTGCCTTGCACTTCCGAGCTTTAGGATGGGTGGTAGCCCTCATCAAACTGGACTCACCACTGCACCAATGACTGCCACGATGCGCCAGTGGTGGCGCCTGCTTCGGCGAAGAGGATGCTTGCCGGCATAGTCTCGGCTAACAGACAAAAAGGTATGGAAGAGCTGGGGTCAGGACAGTTAAAGGTCATCGGAAGGCAGGACATGCAAGGAAGGCGATTCACCCAGGTCCTGCCTCCTCCGCTAGTATGGAAGCGTGTCCAAGACACGGGCAAAGCAATCTACAAGCACCTGCACAGCCTTCCCAGCCTCAAACACAAACCCGTTTATTCGAGAGCTCGTACCCCATACCATAGAGGTCAACGTACCTGCTCGGACCTTTTCCGTCAAACAAGGCTTTATCCAAAACTAGGCCAGAATGGCCCGGCCCCAGTTATGTTTTTTTAATTGAGAGAATAAGCTATTTATTTCCCATCAAATTTATTTGAAAATACATGTACTGAGAATGTGACTTAGATGATTTTCCAGCCCCCTATACATAATCCAACACTCACTGTTTTCAGTGCTAACTACTCTTCTAAATGAATTACAACCAGCTTTTAGGAAAGGCGTTGTTATCCTGTTTTACAGGTGAAACTGGAGCATAGAAAAGTTTAACATAGGCCAGGCGTGGTGGCTCACGCCTGTAATACTAGCACTCTGGGAGGCTGAGGCGGGCAGATTGCTCGAGGTCAGGAGTTCGAAACCAGCCTGAGCAACAGCGAGACCTCGTCTCTACTATTAAATAGAAAGAAATTAATTGGCCAACTAATATATATAGAAAAAATTAGCAGGGCATGGTGGCGCCTGGGCAACAAAGCGAGACTCTGTCTCAAAAAAAAAAAAAGTTAAGTTTAACACGAACTTTCCCAATGTCGCCCAAAGTAGAGGGTAATAAAATAAAATAATATGAACTCAGATGTATGGCTCTTGACCATGTGTGTTTTTTTTTGTTTTGAGACAGTCTTGCTCTGTTGCCTGGACTTGAGTGCCATGGCAGCAGGCTAGCTCACAGAAACCTCAAACTCCTGGGCTCAAGCAATCCTTCTGCCTTAGCCTTCTGAGTAGTTGGGACTACAAGCATGCGCCACCATGCCCAGCTAATTTTTTCTATATACTTTTAGTTGGCCAATTAATTTCTTTCTATTTTTAGTAGAGATGGGGTCTCACTCTTCTTGCTTAGGCTGGTCTTGAACTCCTGACCTTGAGCAATCCTTCCTCTCAGGCCTCCCATAGTTCTAGGATTACAGGCCTGAGCCACCACGCCCGGTCTTGACCACGTGTTCTTAATCCATACTGTATTGTGTTGTAACTTTGATTTGTGAGGGAAATTTAAGGTTTCTCAGATGATATGAATTCATCACTTTCTGACTGGTGGTCAGAAGTGGTGAGGTACGTACACACAGCAGAAAGTTGATGTCCTTCTCTTTACTAACTAGTTGGATCTTTTTTTTCCCATATAGGTGAATATGATCATCTCCCAGAACAGGCCTTCTATATGGTGGGACCCATTGAAGAAGCTGTGGCAAAAGCTGTTAAGTTGGCTGAAGAGCATGCATCGTGAGGGGTCTTTTTGGCAAACTAAGCACTCATCCTGTTGTCCCTCTCCTTGTCTCCAATCCAAAAACCTTCAGTTTTCTGTGTAGGCCACACAAGAGCCTTGATTGAAGACATTTTGTTCTGTCTGAAGAGTATTTAAGGTTTCCAATAAAATGTACACCCCTCGGAATTTGTCTGTTCTCGGCTCAGTTAACACTGAGTTGTTCTTTGTTTTTTTTTTAACACTGAAATTTTTGACAATGAGAATTTTAGAGTGGCCACAAGAAGCCATTTTAGCACAAAATAGGTCGTGTATGTTTGAAATTGGGTCATTGAAAAAGAATAGCCATTCTCTTGGATTGATGAACTGTGCATCTTGGTGAGGGGTTTTCTGTAGGTAGTGTAATCTTACTAGGGCCTCAGCTTTGGCCCTTTTATGACATTTGTTCAGAGCACATTGATTTTTTTTGCCTCTTAAATATCCATATAGCATGTTCCTACTTTTAACCAAGTAGGCCTTTTTTAGAAGGGCATATTTGAAAAAATAGGTTTTGCTTATTTAGAGACAATCACTCTGTTGTCTGGGCTAGAGTACCATGGTGTCAAATAAAAAAAATAAAATAAAAATAAAGATAAAACAAAATAAGATTATGGTCAGGTGAATAGAATTGTTCATAGTTGGTTTTTTTTTTTTTGAGACAGAGTCTCACTTTGTTGCCCAGGCTAGAGTGAGTGCTGTGGCGTCAGCCTAGCTCACAGCAACCTCAAACTCCTGAGTTCAAGCAATCCTCCTGCCTCAGCCTCCCAAGTAGCTGGGACTACAGGCATGTGCCACCATGCCCTACTAATTTTTTCTATATACATTAGTTGGCCAATTAATTTCTTTCTATTTATAGTTGAGACAGGGTCTCGCTCTTGCTCAGGCTGGTTTTGAACTCCTGACCTGGAGCCATCCGCCCCCCTCGGCCTCCCAGAGTGCTAGGATTACAGGCATGAGCCACTGCACCCGGCTGTAATTCTTAGGGTAAAGCAGAAAATAAGAATATTCTAATCACACCTTTGCCTGAAACAGCATTTTCCTTTTATGGAACTACAGGTAGTTTGGTTGGCGGTAAAGAAGGGAAAAAGAGAGGGTACTAAACAGGGTACTATAGAGCACAAAGCTAGAGCCAGGTCTCAGTGGGATTTTGATGAGTGGGGGCTAGACAGGATGTGTTAAGTGTTCCTCAAGAACAGAAAATTGGCTGGGCAAGGTGGCTCACATTGGTAATCCTAGCACTCTGGGAGGCCTAGGTGGGCAGATTGCTGGAGGTCAGGAGTTCCAAACCAGCCTGAGCAAGACTGAGACCACGTCTCTACTATAAAAATAGAAATTAATTGGCCAACTAATATATATAGAAAAAATTAGCTGGGCATGGTGGCACATGCCTGTAGTCCCAGCTACTCGGGAGCTGAGGCAGCAGGATGTTGAGCCAGGAGTTTGAGGTTGCTGTGAGCTAGGCTGATGCCACAGCACTCACTCTAGCCTGGGCAACAAAGCAAGACTCTGTCTCAAAAAAAAAAAAAAGAAGAAGAAGAAGAAGAACAGAAAATTGCAGAATAAACAGGGAATCCTTTCTGTTTTTATTGATTTTATTCAAAGATATTTGGAGACCTGATGGGGTGACCCTTTATCTTCCTGTTAAAACAAACATGACTATTTGGAGTATTTCAATGTGGAGTTACTTTCCCAGACTTTCTCCCACCAGCCCCTGTTAGTTCCCATTTTTCTGCATGATCTTGAAAAAGTTCCCCACTGTTTGGCAACAGGGAGTTAATTAGCCTTCAAGGGGTTTAATGGAGAAAACAAGGGGACAAGAATCTTTGAAATGCCTATGGAATATCCAGCTGGTAATACGCCTATCAAGAGGGAAAGACCCCAAGAACACCACGTGTAAAGAGCAGATAAAGAAAACAAATCCAGCAAAACAAGGCAGATGAATTAGAACAGGACCAAAGAACATAGCATTAAAATTAAGGGCCAGGCGCGGTGGCTCACGCCTGTAACCTAGAACTCTGGAGGCCAAGGCGGGTGATTGCTCAAGGTTAGGATTCAAAACCGCCTGAGCAAGACGAGACCTCTTCTCTACCTATAATATCATAGAAATTGATTGGCCAACTAATTATTTAGAAAAATAGTCGGCATGGTGCACATGCCTGTAGTCTCAGTACTGGGATGCTGAGACAGAAGGATTGCTTGAGCCCAGTATTGAGTTCTGTAAGCTTAGGTCGACGCCATGGCACTCACTCCAGCCTGGGCAAACAAAGCGAATCCTGTCTCAAAAAAA